CTGAATCGGGTAGACTTGGTTCGCTATCTTCTAATCCTGTTTCATTCTATTAAACCAACATACCGTTAAGGTATTCATATACAAATCTGTTATTAATCCCAATAAAATTTCCTACATTTTTATAAAAATCAGTTTACCCGTTTTCATCAGACAAGCGTTTATATTATTTCATAACAAGAGATTATTAATAGTTTATAATCTCTTGTCCTTAAATATTACTAATATTTATTATTACTAACACTTTGTTCTCTGCCATTGAAACTATCATGTCCAATGCAGTGATCGAGGTTCATAGCATATTCGTTGAAGCTACAAACTGCAACATGAAGATCGTCGATTGGTAGTGCGATTTTTTGACAAATGCACACACGAAAAAAAACTCTTGCTGTACTAAGCTCCTGGACTAACGCTTTGAAAATAAGGCATCAAGATAAAGAGACGGCCAAAACGGCGTGAAAAAAAAATTATTTACAAAACAAATATCAACCGGGTGCAGACCAGTTTGCGATCTATGAAGTGAAACCACGCAGTTGAACCAGGGACAACCGAAGGAAAATCGATGGAGCAGCTTGGTAAAGGACATGATCCCAGGACAAAGACCCTATCGAGTCAAACTTCTTCCTATATTCTATTGTACCTGTTATTAATGCATTATGCCTTTTTGGTAGAACTACACCTTTTTTCCTTCCTATTTGTTACAAGCGTTTATTTCCTTCTAGAGAGTAGAGGTAAAGTGAGATTACATAATTACAGGCCACACTAACATGACCTCAATGTCTTAGCTGTAACTTACGTAGGAAACACCTCTTTCATCTTCATAAGTCCTACAATTGAGAAAGCATACAAATATTTATGACGAGCTGAGAATCTCATCAGTTTTAAGTGGAAGTTTGTTATAAGATGATACCATATCTGTTACATTACATCGACACAATCCAAGTGGCAGCAAATTCTTACCTCTGTTTCCCTACAGCGCCTGGAAAAGAACGAAAGGAAAAAAAGGCAAATGATGTGAATGTGGGTCAAGATTTCCTTTTGCTTAATAATGAATCTTGCAGCCAAACCCTCTATCATAGATTATGAATTTTTTACCTACCTTTCTTATGTAGCCAGATTATGTAAATAATTAGAAGAACGATTATGAAGGCAAGAACCCCATTTATGGCTAACGAGACGTTGTTAGATGGGCAGTTACATTCCTCAGGACCTAAAATGATTCATTTTACAAAGCTTGATCAGGTAACATTCAAACAACATTTACAGTGATCGTGGTCAGTACACTGCTCTCACTACATAGCTTATGCTCTAGAACGAAAACCGTTAACTCGAATTGGCTAGGTACTAAGGAAAAGCAAGGTGCTACTCTCTCTATAATAATTTTTAAAAGTAAGATTTTGTTTAATTTAATAGAAACAACAACAGCGACGAAAACAAAACTTGGAAATATATGACTCACAGAATTGACTTGTTTAATTAAACAGATACGGAATACAATTAAAAATGTCCATCTTCGGACGAATACGTGTAAACATTTAACAATTATATTTCTTTGTAAAACATACTTTTTGTTGTGCTTTCCGAGCCGTCTGTGGTTATAAAAACTTGTTTAATTGATTCTGGATCGACTTTGAAACCTCCGAATTTCTCTTGCCTTGCAGCATCCAACAGGACAGTCAAAACATCGCTGACGATTACACTTCGATTGAACCTCATCATGAAGTCGAGAACAACACTGCCACACCTAGGTAGGGGGGGAAGGATGTAAAATGCCGAATCGAACACCGTGCCGAAAAGAGTAAGACTCATAAGTTATGACTGATTATACAGTCGGTATTAAACAAAAAGAAATCGTGGGAAGAGTTCATTTAGGTTTGCAAGTAGTTTCTTCATCCGCTTTTACACTCTTCACCTATTCAAACATTTGTCAACTTTGGAAATATTATTGCATTACCTTTTCCTAATATTTTTTGCTCTTTACAGCACGGTGCTCTATTCGGCATTCTATTTGTACTTTGGTGACTTTTAAGTGTTAAAATACGTTGATATTTGACCAAAAGAGCGTTTTTGATGTAATAAAATAAGGTTTGTTGTTTCAGTGTTGAGACAAACTGCACCTTACCTCGTGTTCACGGTGTTGGCGGATGAGCAGCCAAACTTAAAGGCAATTTGACAAGCCTAGAAGGACATTTAAAGAAAAAATGTAAATTCGAATACTTGTTTCATAATTGAAGATCGTTCAAAATGTCATTTTGTTTTACCAAAAATATTGAGATTTCGTTCAAGAGCAGATTGATTAAGACTCCCTTTTAATGACAAATCTTATGGCAGAATTCTATACACTCCGGTATAAGGATCAAGTAGATTATCTAACCATTTCTGGAAATTTCGCAGCAACTTCTGAACGTGTGCTACAGTTCCCCTGTATTGTCGCTGTCAGGTAAACATCTGTACTTTCTGAAGCTAAAGAAAAGCCGTGTCCTTTTACATTTACGAAAAACATGAAGAGCCTTGATTCACAAAAACTGCTGAGAAGTGGTTCCATCTAACAATAATTCAGTTTGAACATTGTCCAATAATTCCAGCAGAGATCGTTCTGACAGAGTGTGCCACTAAGCTTGAGAGTAAACTTATGTTTTAGTGCACGCAATAGCATAAACATGTTACGATTAGCCTTGATCACAATGTTTTAATATTTGATACAGAAACTTGTAACATGTGTAAGTAGGCCCTCAGAGGGATTGAATTATATTTTTTTGAACGAATACTGTGGTTCTTTCCCCCCCCCCCCACCCCACTTGAAAAACAGTTTTGCGGAGCCACATGAATTAAGTTACTTGTGTTTGAGGATGGCCAGCGTAATATGCCTCAAAATATTCATTAACCCACACCTAGAATGAGTCTTTAGAGAAATAAAAAGAATACTTTTATACATCTATAATTATGCTTATTCTTAATCCTTCAATTGTAGAAGGTATAGCCTTCATAATCATAAAGATCTTTTGAGTCGCTGCATGACACCTGACGAGATTCACATAATCGTATAAGTTTGTATTAGATTATTACTTTTGATACAGATTTAGCAGTCTGTGTTATGACTGTTTGTGAGTCTACAGTCCTTCGCTAAGTTCCAGACTTTTAGTGACTTAATTCACTCTTTGCCTTTTACTCAAATTCATTTCGTAACAGCAAAGAACATGCTATTATGATGACATAGTTTTACGTGGAGGTTAAAGAAACGCCTATTAAAAAACGTTAATTACCTGCAGGAGTTGTTTGGGATGAAGTGGCAACTGTACTTGAAATTGTTTGAACTGGGGAAAAACAAAATATGACTCAAATGATCGACAAGAAATTTTAAATTTAATTAATCATCATACCAATCTCAAACCATTTGATAATAATGATACGTTCGCTGAAATATTGTTTTTCACGGAGGTTCTGGGTATGATAGGCTACACTTTCTAAAACTGTTATTATTATTATCATTGTCACCAACATTATTATCATTGATATTTTTATAACTATCATCATGATTGTAATTATTATCATTGTCAACACTATCACTAAAAAGGAGCAAAAATGGCAAAGAACTACAGAGAGGGCTAAGTTTGAAATAAAGGTCAAGTGACAAAGTGTCAAGTGTTAATATGTTAATATTATATATATTAATAATTAACTCTTTTTAATTTTAAGATGAAGCCTAATGGTTTCTTCTAATATCGAAAAAGTGCTTTTCCAAGTAAAATGGGAAAGGTTTTGGAGCGCCATGTTCGCCACAAAATGAATGCACAGCTTATCTGTTCGCCTGATGGACGATGTAGATGTAAAGATGTGTAGATGTGTAGTTGTGTACATGTGATATGGCAACAAGACTAACGACAGAGCTACATGGAAAAGAAACGAACTTACAATTTGTGGCGTAACCAGGTCTGATAGTAAAACTCTTAAACAAAAGTAACACGGCGCTAGCAAAAACTAACGAGACGACTGACTTATTTGAAATCAACTAGTAATGAGAAGTATGTAACGAAACAAAGCTTTTACTGGCGAGAAATAAAGTGCCACCAGCATTGTGTAATTCTTACACAACCTCCTACAAAAACGCGCGCTCAATTAAATCAAAACAGAACATCACAATAGTAGTTCAATTGAAAGAAAAACGATACAAAATATTTTCGCAGTTACTTGACAATCGACAGAAATGCAAATTCTAGTTGCTACATTCCAGCCCCTCAAGTTTACTTTAAGTATTGGGCGACTACTTCACTTGAGGTCACCAAGCTAATAAAACTATGACGTAGTCTGATCCATTTCTGTCGTCCTTGCAAATTTGGTAGATATTCCGACAACTACCTCCTCCAGGACTGCATGCCACTGTTGGTCGACCATTGAGAATTCCCTCGACTTCTGCCATCAACGTTGGCAGTGCCTCTCCAGAACGAATTGTTGCATAAAAAGAATTCTTAAGATCTTGCTCACTGAACGAATCGTGCGTTCCCAGTATCCTCCCATGTGTGATGCTCCAGCGAAATTAAACTTCCACTTGATGTTCTTCTAGTGTAGGATAACTTCTATCTTCTGCTGATTCCAGTCGTTTAGGGCTTCACGGATTTCTCTCTCTCCGCTACTTAAGATCATACCATTGTTACCTTTTATCATCTTTGGCTTCTCTCTTCTGATGATGAATCTGCAAAGAGCACAGATAAACGAATCTGTGTCGAGAGACTCGGTCACTTCAATGTGGATTGCTCGTATAGTTAAGAGAAAAGACACCATAACTTTTAACTGTACTTCTGCCTTGCCTCACGTAAAGTGGCCAAAGAAATCTATGCCAACGTTAGAAAACGGGGTTTATCTGGAACAAGCCTGTTGCCAGGTAAATCTAACATCAATTGCAGCATTTTGTCTTGGCATATCAAACAGTAACTGAGTACTCTTCAAAGAGCAGCCCGTCCCTTGAAGATCCAGTACTTTTGTCTCAGGCTGGTCATGACATATTCTTAACCTAGATGACCCACAGACTCACGAACATCCGTAATGAGCAGCTTGGTAACATGGTGCTCTGAAGGTAACAGCAATGGATGTTTCGATTGGTAATCCGATGAAGAATTTTGAAGCCGACCACGAACTCTCGATATTCCTGCTCCGTCCATAAATAGTCTCAATTTGTACACTGAACCAAATGAGCCAATAATCTTCAATTTACGTTTCTCAGATTCTTCTAGGCTCAAGTCTGGGAGGGCTTTAACCACTGGCGAGAAAGTTAATTTTAACACGTATGTGATGATTTGAGCCTCTGCATATCGTAATTCGTCTATCGACAGCCTTCCACAAGGTAATGGAACAACAGGTCCTCTTCTAAGCACCTCTTGCTCTTAAAGAATTTTCCTTAAATCTTAGACGCCAAGCAACTCTCTTCTTAAGCTCAAACCATGACGAATATTGCAGAACCATTAGGTTCAGTGGTCGTTTATCCTCCATGAGAGTAATATGGTCTGTTCGAGTTTGACCTCTGACTGCTGGGTCTTACTCAGAAATACTGACTGAGGAGACTGGATGGGTGGGCTACAATGTCTCACTTTCTCACAAAAACTTAGGGCCTCTGAACCAAACTTCCTTCTCTAATAACTCCTTTACCGATAGTCCTCGGCTGGCATCGTCAGCTGGGTTGATGCTTGTTGGCACATAGTTCTACTGGGAAGGTTCTGAGCCATCATGTATCACTGCCAGGTAATTGGCCACAAACATGTAGAATCGTTTGTCTCTTTGCCCCTGATATATTGGAGGACAGCTGTGGAGTCTGACCAAATAACTGTCTTGTCAACTTTTGACTGAAACTCTTGTAACGTATTATTCATTCTGACAGCTAAAACAGCGGCTGAAAATTCCAATCTGGGTATAGTCATCTGTTTCACGTGAGCTACGCGAGATTTTCCGGCGAGGAAACTGCAGTGGGTACGGCCATTTTCATTGACGAGTATTGCATATGACACAGTCCCATAAGCAATCTGAAGGGCATCTGCAAAGTGGTGAAGCTCTGCATTTTTTACCCGGCCATAGTCGATCGCTTTTCAAACCTATTGGTAAGGAAACACTTGAAAGCATAGGTAAATTAGATAGCCATGATCTCCAAAACTGAAATTTCTCTCCCATTTTCTCTTCATCCGAGGTGAGTCCTTGTTTGCAGAGATCTTGAAGGAGCTTTGTAGCTAATAAGGTGATTGGTGATACTATGTCAATTGGATAATAAATGGAGCTAGTCACTGATAGAATACTCTTCGTGTGAAGGACATCTTTTGGTATCATCTTGAAGGTAAACATGTTGCTTTCCATGTTACACTGAACACCAAGGGGTTATTTCGATACGAAGTACACCAGAATTTAAATCCAAATCCAGAATTGACGAAGCTCTGTCTGAGGTTGGAATGGTTCTGAGGACTTGCCTCCTGTCACACAATCATTTAGTCAATCGAAATCCACCTCTTGACAATAGGACACACAAATCTCTCAATTTACTGCACCGCTTTCGAACAGTCATCCCCATAAAATTTCTTCAATACTGTGTCGATCACTTCATTGTCAAAGTCTCCTGCATTGTCTTGAGCCGTCTTTCTTGTGGACCAAAATTTTCCCGACTTTGTGAAGAAGTGCTACCAAAAAAGTGTACTCAACAGGCTCCTTAGATAAGTCATCGTCAGGCCACCGAGGGAACTTTAAGGTATCAACATCATGTGGATCAAACATTACTGGGTGGAACATGGCTTCAATGTCTGACGAGAGAGATACTAGTTCCTGACAAAATCTTAAGAGGACACCAAGCAGACTGTTCGTCAAGTCTGGACCACGATTTCCCTTTGTATTGGACCGTGCAGTCAAACACCACTTACAGTTTCCCAACCTTATTAGGATTGAAGGCAGCATATAATTGACTAGTGATACTTTAACTAGAGGTTGCTAATTGTAGTTTTTTTTAATTTTGGTTCATTTTTCGCAAACCAATATTTTAATTCATTTCCATAACATATCAGTTCAACTGATACTGACATCATACACTACATCAAAAGAAAACTTTCCCTATCCTTGAAAATCTGTTCAAAACATCAGGAACATCAACAAAAGTCTTCATCAGCTTGAGAATACTGCTAACTAGCACATGTGTTGATCGCCACGCACAACACGTCAACCTCATCACCAGGGTCTCTATTCCTTCCTGTTCGGGGTTGTAATGGTTCACAGTGGGAAGTTTTATTGACGCAATGTAAACTGGTATAAAACTTTTTTCCCGTTTTAAATTATAATTCCAAAGTACTTAAAAATGCTCAAAGATGTTTCTACTCACCCTTTATTTTAAGTCTCACGGTGGCTTTTGCTCCATCTCCAACGTCATTATGTGGGATACATTTGTACTCGCCATAGTGCTGAGATCGATTGACGTTATTGACAGTATACTCACTATTGCTGTTCTCGCTTAGGAGGCTGCCATTGAAATAGAACTTGTAAATTGACACTTGTGGCACAGCAGCCGTAACTTTGCATTTGAATGAAACAGTATCTCCTTCAGCGACGGTATTTTGGGCAGCACTGGTAGTGAGCCTCACACCTTCAGGTTTGTCTAAAAATTTAAATCAAATCATCTCAGATATTTCATCGCTCATACATTTCGCCTGTCTAGAAGGTGCATAATGTATAATATAATGGACTTGTATCAGTCCATGGAGTGCCTTGGGCAGAAAATATAGCGCTTTTGTAAAATTGTAGCAAGTCATCTATCAATGGTTAGAATGCTGACTAAAAGCAAAATACTTTAACTTACACATTGCACACTGAAAAAACAATGGCATTACTGCAGCAAGAAAAATAGCACTATGTTTTTACTAGGATAGCTATTTTATATCCTCTGCTATTAAAAATGAGCAATTTGTGAAGCCCAGCTTTATGTCTTAACGGACATAAAAACGGTGTCGCTCGTGAAAATATTTTTATTAAAATCTTTAATTTTGGGCCAGGAGACGAGTGCAACTAAACTAAAGCGTAACTACTCGTTTGTGAACAATTTTTTTTCTAAAACATGTCCTCCTTACATCAAGAGGCCTTATTTTCATTGGCTGAAGACCTAAATGAAAGTGAAACGCTATTCATTTCATTTCAGAATTTGCCTGCAACAAAACGTCCAGAAAATTTTTTATTTGAAAAAGAGCTTAACTGAACAATATAAAAAGTTTACTTTACCCTTTGCACTTGAAGGAATATTTGTTTATTTGTACAGAGAGACCGAATATTACAGTAACTAAACGTGCTGCTGAGAAATTCGTGGCAAGTGATCATGGAGGCTGTTATATGGCTGTTCACTACGACTGCTGTGCGTCTGACGGAAAGGTTGAAAGTCTTGTAAAGACTGTTGAGCTGAATTTTTCGCTACTTTAAAGCTGGCGACAAAACTCTGCCACATTTTCTCGGCTGGGACGACGAAGGAGGAGGAGTGCATTGAACACTGATCGGGTTTCTGTGGCCCAAAATAAGTCAAATGTGGCGACACCTGAAACCAGCTTCAGATAGCTAAATATATTGGCTGTGGCCCTGGGGAGCACTACCTTGGTACTCTCATCATAATTCCCGGAATATTGACGGCAAGAGGACAGTTTTCTCACCAGGGGCCCGTTTATCGAAAGTCCAGGTAGTTTAACGGGCCTGTGAAGCTTTTTTTTATTTTAGATGCGTGTTTCAAAAGTTTTGAGAATTATAAAATACAATTTTCAACTAAAGAGATAACATGGACCGATTAGAGTACCAGAAACTACTCCTCTGTTCTTAAAATTTTTATTTTATAACATGGCTAGGCGCCCGTTAAGTTAAGAGGCTTGCAAAACGTGGAATTCTAGTTATTTCGTCTACGGTACGAGAGCGTGAGAGCAGCAAGGCTGGAATCTGCAGCAGACTGCTTATTGCCAGCTGATTCGTGACATCAACAAAGCCAAGCATCTGAAATTCGCTCAACGCATCTTGGAGAGTGGCGACACTTTCCAGAACATGATTTTCAGCGACGAGTGCTCGATCTTCCTCCAATCTTATCGTTGTAAGTGCTTCAGCATGGAGGACGAAACCACAAAGCGCAAGCCTAAACCGAACTATCCCCTCAAAGTTCATGTGTGGGGGGAATCAGTAGACATGGTGCCACCAAGATTTGCATCTTTGTGCGCTTAAAGAGGGGCAGAAAGTAAAGGTAATCCTGAGAAAGACTAGTAAGGAGCACATGGCAGTTGTGGATTGCTACCCGCTGGAGGTGGAGGTTCAGAAAACTTTCACAAAGAGCGACCTGCCGCCACGTCAAACAAGAGCAAAGAAGAAATTGGTAAGTATTCGTTCAACAGACTGCCTTTAAGTTTGACATACCTATACTTGTTAACTTGAAGAGATTTTGATGCATTTTGATCTTACTCGCAGATTCCAGAGTCACCCTTGGCAAAAACAAATGAAACAGCAGGAAAGAAAAGTTACAAACTTAAAAGAAACGAAAAAACCAGAAAAGCCCAAAGGAAAAGTAAGTAGCAGTAAACACAGATTTTTCCAATGTTAGTAAAATTTGTTGCTAAACTTCACAAGCCTCGCATGTTTTGTTTTGTTTTGCGGCAACGCTAATTGCTGACTCTCATTTACATCAACTCTTAATTAATTATTGGTATTGATCATTAGATTTTAGATACAGCATCACCTTGGAAGGAGGCAGAGATGATCCCTTCTTCGGGGTCTTCATATTCTTTTCTATTCAAGCAGTAAACTGACGCTTTTTATCACGAAATTTCACTGAACTTTTGTTTCAAAGCGAAAATTCAACGAAATAGCGCTCTCTTTTAAACGGAACTTTGCTCAAAAAGCCTCAAGTCAATCGAACTATCGCATGGATTTCGACGAAAGTTCACTGGAACAAAGAACGAAATTCACGCATTTCCCTTGCGTTACTTTTGCACAGTACTGTGCATTTAAGACAGTAAACACCCGTGTATAAGAACCTAGAATTTTTGGGTTCAGGCTGAATGGGTTCTTATATTTTGGGGTAGTTTTTCCAAACTCAGGCTGATTAGGTTCTTAGTAGGTTCTTATTTGTAGGAGTTGTCATAGTGATACCATTCAGAGAACTACTGTAGTACTAGTATGTCATAATGGTTGAACATTTGTATTTTAAACAGCAAAAATGCCAAGCCTTATTTTTAAAACAATAATAAATTCAGTATCATAGGCTACCATATTTACAGTTGTATTTGATAATAATGTAAATTGTTAACAGCAATATAAATATATAAATAAAAACAGCAAAAATAAATAACAACCCAATTTAGGGAATTAAAATTGAACCAATTTGAAAATAATCAAATATAAGTTCTGATGGTGTTTCACAATTTCTATCAATTAAAATCCAGTATTTTTGGCTACAAAATAAGAGTGTTTTTTTGTATAAGAACCTGTCGTTCTTTGCCAGCCTAAATAGGTTCTTATATATTTGGCTACTAAAATGCCCAATTTCAGCCTGTAGGTTCTTAAATCACTAGGTTCTTATACGCGGGTGTTTACTGTATTTGTTAGCCGAAGGTGAGGTGAATATTGTTGAACGATCTCCTAAGACGAGGTTGAAGCGATTATTCAACAATCTTCACTGGGCCTAATGCGAATAACTGCTGTTATTAGCATGATTGCTGAGATGTTTTCAAATTCTGTTGTAAATGCTTTTTATAAATTGAAAACTGAAAATTCTGTCACAATACTTTGGATTACTTGAATCAAGATAAGCAGCCAGTTTCCACCAGAAGTTAACAAGTTCATTTCACTTCATCAGTCAAAACTTCATATCTTTCTTTTGAAAAACCTAATGCCATGATGTGATTGGTGAGAGCAGCAAACCTCAATGCTGTAATCTCATTGACTTGGGCCATTTCTGGACATTTACGTCGTTTTTGTTTGTTTGTTTTTTATTGGTAGTTTTGTTTTTCTTTTCTTGATAAGAACAGAAACCTTTCCAAATTACAAATAGACCGATGACTGAATCAAATTGGCTGTGAGTCACTAAAATGAAATAATGAATGATGAAGGGGTGAGATGTGGACCCTTAATAGACTGACTTTGTATTGATCTTTGAGTTGTAACAGGTAAAATCTTCATTCACTTGGATGTTTATTTGGACCCAATTCATTGACCAGCTCCCAGTTGGCTTGTTAGCTCAATTGGTAGAGCGCTGCACCGGTATCGCAGAGGTCATGGGTTCAAATCCCGTACGGGCCTGAAATTTTTTTCAGGTCCTATTTACAACCACTCGTTTCAGTAGTGTTCTTAGCTGCGAGGATCTCCTAATTTCATCTTTCCACCGCAGTGCAAATATGTGAATTTTCATATATCTAAAATCTTCAGGTCATGCTTTATATATATGTGGTATACTCCAAGAAGGCATGTCCGGTGTAATTTTCTTAAGGACGAGTGACTTCAAAATCTAGAGATTAGCATGCTGTTCGTGCTTGCTTTTTATCAGCTCCTGACAACAGAGGTCCAATACCTGCGCAAATGTGAACGCTGAAACAATTAGATATCTCTCATGGGGGGGCGGCATAGTGCTTGCAGGTTACACAACCTCCAAAACTAGAAAGTCATAGAAATCAATTACCCAAGTGCAGCATCTGACATTCCTTTCCCTGCCTTTAAAAAAAAGTGAAGTTGTAATCACTCCATAGTGCAGTCCGTCACTTTTGTGTCGTTTGACAGTCGAGTATTTAGAATAAATAAGGTGGCAAGGCTTACGAATAATTAAATATACAATGGATTCTCGCCCTGAAATAATATATCTCGAATGCCACACATGCAAATATGTGCGCAAATCTTAGGTATGCAGTTTTAGTTCAAGCCGATTTTCGCACCTGTTAGCTGATCTCAGCTATCAGTAAAAAAACATGTAGTTTCTCAGATAAAAGAATTTTGACCAATTCTCAGCTTTCCCTTAAGCCCCAACCAGAGCCCTCACACAGAATCAGAATATGCGCTAGCCTTGTCCGCTAGTCAAACGGAGTGAATTTTGGATTATCACAATAATTCGGAAATGGTTTTAAACCATTTTCTGAGTTAAACATAGTCCAACTGAAGCAATGACTTGGCAAAAAAATGTCATATTCTTCTAAGTAAAATAACATGAGCAATGATTCCACGTAAATTCGATTGTCCCAACCAATAATTGGGACCAATGCATATACAAAGCCGAAAAGGGTTTGATGTGGAATTCTGTTCCCTTACACTTTTGAACAGATTTGTCAGTCCTGGGTAACTGACCCTCATAACAGGATTCGCACTGTTAATAAAGTAAATTCAGAAATAGAAAATTAAGGTTAAAATATACTTACACTGAACTACAATTGTTGTGTCAATAGAAGTGACTTCCACTGAGTTATTGGCTCGACATGTATATTGTCCTGCATCTGTTCTGTTTATATTATCGAACTTTAAAGACGTAGCTTTCTTCCCTGAACTTTCCAGTACTCCATTTCTAATCCATGCCACCTCCGGCAGTGGTTTCCCAGAAGCCTCACAGGCCATGGTGACAGGGGATCCTTCAATGTAATATTTTCCTCTTAAAGAGATGTTTATAAGTAGTGCCTCTGAAAGGTAAAAGAGATTATATCATTCCTCACGTGGCGCAGCAAGCCTTACTTGGACTGAGTCTTAAAATATACCCAATTTCAATAAAATAACCAAAGCATCCAGCAATTGGTCCCCAACAACCAACTAGTATAAGGAGGCACAAACTTAATTCAGTACAAGTTAGCCTGTTGGCATTAGCTATTGGGTAACTTGCTCACAAGCTAAATTAAAAAGTAGAGCCCCAGCGTAGGGAATTAAGGGCTAATTCAGGAAGTTTCTCTTTGGGCTAAGGACCCTGGCTTCTAAGCTACTTCCATTCAAGTGGATAAAATTTTTGCTGCTGCACAAACAAATAGGAACAGAGCCAATCACCCCACTCGGAACTTGGCCTGACACAGGATCTTCAGGAGACATACTCCACCCAGAGGACTGAAATCTTGATGAAAGAGAAACTACGAACTCTTTGCAATAAAAAGAATATACCAGTGGCATGCTGAATGCTGCTTGCCCATTACTTAAGTTAAAAGAAGGTCCAGTCTTAGTAAAAAAAAAAAACAGGATGTTTGGCCTTCGATTTTTTCTACAGGTGAAATATGAGACATGGGTTGGCTTTAGGCTACAAAAACCAAATACAAATGATGATTCTTTTGTTGCTTTTAAGCCATAATAACCTGGTATCTTTCTCTCGTAATACAATTCGAAAAGAGGAGTTGTGTGACAGGTATTGTGTTACAGTTAAAATAAGCTAACACAACATGGCAAATGCATAATTAAAATAAAGGAAAGGAAAGAAAGAAGATTATGTAATGGCTGGTGAGCTCAAACAATTTTTATCCTAGGGTCATGAAGGATCCAAAACAAGCAAGTGAACATAGCAAACAGTGAGTTTGGATTCTCTACAAGTGAAGAAAATCGTTCAAGCAAACAATGAGGTAAATTGTACATGAATATTGAGATGTCACAAACGTTTTCAACATTGAATCACAGTCAAATGACAAGTCTCAATTTGCTCCTTAGTGTCAGAAATTACTTGAGGAAGTCACCATTCTGTTGGCTAAATTTACATCTGCAAACCTCTAAGATCATATAATCCTCAGAAAGCAGCAAATGGCACAGTGCCGACTTTAACTGCCTTTGGCAAGTCCCTTTAAAAGGTATGAAAAGAAATACAATCTTTTTCACATTGATTTCATTTCACATGCCTATGATTGGTCATGCAATATTTTCCTTCAGTGATTTAGCAATATCGTACAACCAGTTGGATTGTTTCTAGTTTTGACTGACCATTTTCAATTGACAGTAATCATATCAATAATGGTTATCTATGCATAACAGAGCAACCCAGTAATTAGTGCCAGAAGAATAAAGCAATACCTCTCTGATAACTCTTTGATTTCTTACTGATGTGAAACAGCAAATTAAGTGAATTGTAGAATTTCTTTTCTCCCTTTAGGAGTGTGGTGTTGCATGCCAAGTAAAAGTAGCACTATTGTTCCCAAAAGTCAGGTTAGCTAGCCACTTACAGCCCTGCATATGAAGGTTTGTGCATATTTATGCTATTGCTTACTTTCTCCAGATCTCAGTAACATGACAGACATGAGTTGAATGCATTTGATTTATGTTTGATTTTTAATGTTTATATCTGTAATACATACCTGCCACAATAAGCTGAACTCTACTTGCAAATGTGTAGATAGCTCCAAGGAGTTCACATCTAAATATGGTATTGTCTCCAGGGTTGATGTTCTCGATAACTAGGGTAGCTCTTCCTTCAATTTTAACTCTTCCTTTGTAAGATGGAGGAATATCAGGATGTTCTTGGACACCATGACTGTCATTAACCAACATTTTGACAAATGCACGATTTATCACAACACTATAGATAATGGCATGAATGTTATTATGTGGATCAGTGTAGTCCCACATCAGGTTGGCATCACTACCATTGTTAAAGTAGCTTGGATTAGGAGGTTCCTGAGTGAAACGCACATCTACACCCTCTTAAATAGACAACCATAAACATACATGTGTAAGGATAATATTTAGGAGGAAGGGCTTAAATAGAGTCCACCACAGAGGCACGTTTACCATAAGCAGTAACAACAATAAGTGTAAATATGCACTACATTGGTATTCACTGATATCAATCAGCTCAAAATGTGCTTTCATTTTCTAAGAAATAAGGTTCAATAACTGTAATGTGCAACTATTTGTGCCTTTTCAAAATCATTTTCGTCAAGTTCCACTTTCTTTACTTCTTGAAATGTGAACAGTGGTGAATATTCAAAATTTTTGAAGAAGAGCTTGTTGAGGTGGAAAATGGAAAGTGGAAATGTCTTCCCATATTATATGTTAAACCATCGAATGAGAGATTTATTATTCCACTCATTTCATTTTCTAGTCTTTTGGCTTCTAGTTTTTTGAAAATTTGTATGGTCTTATCTGAGCATCCTACACATCACATAGGATGTGCATGAAAGAAGAAAACAACAGAAAAGAAACCATTTAAGTGTTCTTGATGACCAGAAAAAAATTCTTGTTGGCTTTAAAGTTCAGTGCTGAAAAAATCATGCCTAAAAATTGGAAAAGAAACCAAAGTTCACACATATCACTTCTATCCCTATTCTTTCCCTGTTCTACAGTGTACAACCATCACATATTTAGTGCGTTCCATTGCCTTAATAAATATGATGAAATGACATAATAGTGAATAAAAATTGATAAATATTTGCTGAAGGTCAAGTGAATATTATTCAATGACCTTCCCTTTGCCTTCAGCAAAATAATTGTTTTAATATAATCACTCCGGTGCTTTCAAATTCTATTATAAATTCCATAAATAAAGAAAACATTGCACACATTTTGTCACGATTGTATTGATTACCTATATCAAGATGTCAGCAAGCAGTTTTAAGAGGTCTATTTTTTTAATGCCAAAAACTTTATCCCTTTGTTTTGAAAAGTGTTCTGCTAATCGTTTAGCAACTTTCCTGCTCTTCACAATTTAATTTTCTCCTATTGCATTTGTCACTCCCTTGTAATCATCTGAAAGAACATGAGGCAGCCATTTTGAAATTTGGCACTCCTGCTATGGTCACCCTGTGCACTGTGATTAAAGCAAGATATGATGCAATCCTTGACCAATCAGAGCATGCACATCCCTATGATCACCTAAGTGAGCAATTATTCTACTAAAATATTTATCATTGAAGTCATCGCATAACACAAGGTAAAAACAGCAATGACAGCACAAACAATAATGCAATGATCAATCGTCACATGTGCATGATTTTCCGAAAACTTTAGCATTGTAAGTATTGTAAGGAGAAATTCTGTCTCGGTCGCTTGTGGGAGTGAAAGGGTTAAAGCAATAACCAAAGCAGCTGTCACAATAAATACAAAAACAGCAACCAAGTGTGCTTTGATAGCATCGAATTATTAATTAACCATGCAACCTTTTAAACCTTAATTTCTTACAGAAAGAACAGATTTTTCTTACACTGTACTATAAAGCTTTATACAAGTGAAAGATGAAAATTCAGCTTTTTTTTGTTCATGTACCGTTGTGTCATTAAGCCCTCTGATGTTCTACTTATGAGCAAGACAGCAAGACAGGAACTAAATGTACTTCTTATGTGAAGCAGTTCTGCCAAAAAAGAATTGGATTTGGTAGAATCCTTGATTATACCCTGAAAGCCAAATTTGCCCTTTTTTTTCCCTATCATGTATTGGAAGCCTGAGATAAGTCAATTTGAAACATAAATATTTGCTCATGCACATAAGCATGAATCAAATCACAAAGGTGGATTGCAATGCTTTCTTATGAGAGTCAGAATCTGGACATATAAGTCTTTTGTACCATTTTAAAGGAGATTCCACTTTAGTTTCCTGGATTGCAAATGTCAGGGATTGATCAAAGCAAAAGAATAGTAGATTTAGACAAAGATTGTGATAAGTTTCCAAGAGGTGAAATCAGAATGATTTTCACAAATTTTCATGAAGTCCAGCTGACTTCTTGTTTTCAACCTTGAAGTCACAATTCTACAGTTGTCAGCAACCAGAAAACCTTGCTAACATTTACTTTCATTAACTCTGGCCAGCCCCCACGACACAAAGGCAAAAAAACCCATGCTACTGTTTTCAGTGGTCAAAAATTTCATCTTCATCCTGTGGTTTAAGTCAGATGGCCATTTCTCAATTGTGAGAAAAACCATCCTACCTATTAGAATTTGTGCATTTTATTACAAATCCTTTTTTGTTTTGTCAATTTAGCTTGGAGCAAATCTCAGTACATATATGATAAGCAAAGATATCTACACAAAGATTTCAAATGGTTAAAACTCTATCTGTTTTTAATCATACAACAAAAATAAGTCGCCAACGACTACCATTGTGGGATACTACAATCAAATGTGCATAAAGCTAAAAGCCAGTCAAGTAAACAAATCCCACATGTTGGTATATGAGCAAACAATGCTCATTTATCCATTCAAGTGCATTATGTGGTTTCTTTACATGATTGCTGCCTAAAGGAAAAGTCACACACATTACTTAGCTAACAGCAATTATCCTTGCTGAGGTCATTATTTACACCAATAATGAGTGGAAAAATTGGTAACAGCTCTTCTCAAAAATGAGTGATGGATGGCAAGGATAAGAGTTTATGTGCATATGACAACTCTCTTCTGGGTTTGCATAGCCATTATGTTTGTAATGTAAAGCCACCTGACAAAGCAGTAACTTTTCTCATGGCTTAAAAGACGACTCACACTATTTAAGAAAATATTGCACTTCTAAGTTTCAATTTTTATGTTAAATTCTAAACGTATGTATTGTTACACTTGAAGCATAAAATCCTTTGCTCTTGATTTCTATCGCATCATAGTTATTCAGACCTCATTTATCACGGGATTGAAATTCCAAAAACATACCTAAATTTTGAAATACAAAAACTGTTGAAAGCCACCTTGGAGTTCGGAAATCATTTTGACGAAAATCATGTTCAGAAATGAAGGGTCGGCGTTTTCGATGTCTATATTGGCGTAGTCTTTATTGATTTTCGGAAAGCGTTCGATTGCGTCAACCACACAGTTCTTATGGATAAATTACACTCTATAGGTATTAGTGGCTCTTTTTACGATTGGCTCTTAAATTATCTTGATAATCGTAAACAATTTGTCACCGTAAATGGTTCAAACTCAGAATTGTTGGAAATAGATACGGGTGTACCCCAAGGGTCTTTACTTGGTCCTAGACTTTACAGCATTTACTCAAATGATCTGCCCGGAGCCACAACGAACGCTTCCGTTGAAATGTTTGCAGATGATACTACTGTTTTTTGCATTGGAAATACTGTTGATGAAGTTTTATTTAAGATACAGAAAGCGATCGTTGACTTAAACAAATGGGCTAAGGATAACTTCATGACTATTCATCCCGCAAAAAGTGAACTAATGTTGTTATCAAAATCAAGATTCATCGGACCCCTACAGAAAATTTGTTTAGGGCAAAATGAGTTGTCATTTGTTTCCAAAGCTACATGTTTAGGGATTCTTATCGATAATAAACTCTCTTGGTCGCCACATATAAAATCTTTGAGCAAACGTTTTTCGGCAAGAGTGAAGAAACTCAAACACCTAAAAGGACTCGACAATCGCCTCTTAGAGTCAATTTATTTCAAAGGTATCATTCCAAGTATTGCGTATTCTATTGCATTATGGGGATCTTCTAAGTCACTTCAGACACTGGAAGACATTCACATTGGAGCCGCGAGATTTATTTTTAACCTAAAGGAATCTACCCCCAATACTGAAGTTCTGGCAGCGACAAAATGGAAGTCCTTATCATATTTCTATAAAAAGAGGATTGCCACTATATCCTATCAGGCATTTTACAATAGAGCTCCGGCTGCTATAAGCTCTTTGTTTACTAAACACTCTCCGTTGAGAAATCTAAGGGACAATCTGAAGCTATTCGTGCAACGCCCTAAAAGTGACTTCCGTCGATCTTCTTTTTCTCACCATGCGTCTGTTCTATGGAACAACTTACCCGTGTACTTGAAGAGCAAACCGAACATTGTTTCTTTCAAATCTGCTCTCAAAGCAAAATCCGACATTTTAGATAAAATAACATTTAATGGTTTACAGGGACTAAATAAAGACGTTGTAAATTACATATATTAAAGCTATTTTACTACTTTTATTTATTTTATTACTTTTTATTACTACTGTAAATCAACTGTATATTATCTTACTAGGTCTTACATCGTTTCTTACTTACCATAATTTCGCAACTTGTTATTGTTATTAGTTAAATTTTGTAGACACTTTTTAGTTTTGTAGGTCCACATCAGCTTTTTAGCTGCCATTTATCGACCTACGTGACAAATAAAGTATGTATGTATGTATGTATGCTGGAAATGGCACATGGTTAAAAAATACTGTCAAATTCTTCGTACGGGAGAATAACTTCACACTTACCTGACCCGTGAAACTTTAGCAACAGAAGGAAGAGTGAGTAAATTTCACAATCACGCAACGACACCATCCTATCAGACCTTTGCTGATGCTTCAATGAAGGAAGGTTGTGTCTAAATCTTACGGAAGTCACTTGAAGGGATGGACTAGAATGCCCATCGTTTTGAGACTGGGACCGAGTGTCACGATCATAGTCGGCAAATTGCCTGAACAACATGACTGATGGTGCGATTTATGGTAGAAAACTCCATTTATGCTAGAGACTTAAGAAATTTGCATGAATTGTGGAAACTTTTCTTCGGGAGAAACGTTCCATTCAGATTAAACTATGCGTGAAACTTGCGAATGTGTCTAATGAGAACAAAGGCACCGATCGATCACGCGCGCGTAGATGAAAGTCACGCAAATAAAAAATAACTTGTAACAGACAGATTTCAACTCCTCTTCCTTGTTTATCAACCGTGGATTCTTTTCCTAGGGTTACTAAATATAATCAAGGTCGGGTTGCACTGATTTATCTCCTGTGGGGACGCACAAGAGTACCCATATTCCTGGGGCCGGAAACGGAAGTCAAGTGGATTACAAGTGAGATAATAACGCAATCCAGACGCGCAAACTCAGTCAGTACGTAGCAAGAAATGCGGGAAAGTCAATTTGAAGACATCTTTTTTTAAGAGTAATTTTCCTCAATCTTGATATCA